TTGGGAGATACTGCTTCTCCGGATCAGGTATAATCCTCCCATTTATCTTTTGGTACAGATCTGGTTTGATTAGGGTTCAAGTAGATCCTTGAATATTGTATTCTAAATTCAGGGAATATGATTCCCAGTTGGGAGAAGGTAGGAAATTTTTGAAATTCGCCCCACCCATTCCGCAACCTTTATGGCGTCCATTAGATGGATCCTACCATTCTTTCAACTATAAATCAAAGTCCTCAGGTACGACTCCCTATCCCATAGCGAATTATGTGACATGTACTAACTTCTCTGCTAGACATCAAGCTTTCTTAGCTGCAGTTACTGTAGGAGCCGAGCCCACCATATTTTCTGAGGCAATAAAAAGTGAGAAATGGAGAGAAGCTATGAGGAAGGAAATCCAGGCTCTGGAGGATAATGGTACTTGGACATTGGAGACTCTACCTCCCGGGAAAAAGGCAATAGGGAGTAAATGGGTTTATAAGATCAAATATAATTCGGATGGGACGGTTGAATGGCATAAGGAACGCCTAGTTATTCTCGGGAATAGACAGGTTGAGGGGTTTGATTACAATGAGACTTTTGCTCTTGTGGCCAAAATGACGACAATTCGAACCTTTTTAGCCGTGGCATCCGCTAGGAACTGGAGTTGCATCAGATGGATGTACATAATGCATTCTTGCATGGGGATTTGAATGAGGAGGTATACATGCAGTTGCCTCCAGGCTTTACATCTAAGGATCGAACAAGAGTGTGCAAACTAAAGAAATCTCTCTATGGATTATGTCAAGCTCCTAGATGTTGGTTTTTGAAGTTAACAACGACCTTGATACAATTCATGTTTGTTCAATTATATCCTGACTACTCTTTGTTCACCTATTTCAAACACAATGTTTGTTTGCACGTGCTGATATATGTTGATGACTTGATTGTTGGGGGAAATGATACTGTAGCCATTATGAAATTCAAAGAGTATCTCAATCGATGCTTCCATATGAAAGATCTGGGTTCACTCAAATATTTCGTAAGTATTGAAGTAGCTCGTGACCCTGAGGGAATATTTTTGTCTCAACGGAAGTATGCCCTGGACATCATCTCGGGATGTAGACTATTGGGAGCCAAACCAACATCCGTGCCCATTGAACAGAATCATCATCTTGCATTGGCAGAGGGCGCTCTAGTGGAAAATCCGAATCAGTATCGACGATTAGTGGGACGGTGGATATACTTAACCATCACACGACCCGAACTGTGTTATTGTGTTCATATCCTAGCTCAGTTCATGCAAAGTCCACGGTAAGAACATTGGGAGGCAGCTTTGCGAGTAGTGCTATATATGAAAGGATATCCTAGACAAGGTATATTGTTATGTTCTGATAGCGATATGCGTCTGTATACTTATTGCGACTTTGATTGGGCAAGCTGCCCGTTAACGTGGCGTTCGTTGACTGGCTATTTTGTCATGTTGGGGCAGTCACCGGTTTCTTGGAAAACGAAAAAACAACATACTGTGTTGCGCTCCTCTGCAGAAGCAGAATATCGTTCGATGGTTGCGACAAGATGTGAGTTGAAGTGGATGAAGAAACTTCTATTGTCCTTGGGGGCGGTGCATGATGAACCTGCGCGACTGTATTGTGATAATCAGGCAACTCTGCATATAACCACAAATCCAGTGTTTCACGAGAGAACAAAGCATATTGAAGTCGACTGTCATTTTGCTCGAGATGAGATACGGCGTGGGAACATTGCTACTTGCCTTGTTCGAACCACAGAATAGTTGGCTGACATCTTGACGAAGGCATTTGGAAAAGAGAAATTCGCATATTTCCTTGGCAAATTGGGCATTCAAAATCTTCATGCACCAATTTGTGGGGGAGTATTGGGAGATTTATTCTCATATAGGAATGTAAATATTTTAGCATGTATTTTTAGGAAGCTGCATGTATTTATACATAGGAAGCTTTCTTTTCTTTCGCTAGCTGTAATTAAGACGTCTTTAACTAGTTATAATTAGCAGTTTCCTAGATTTCTTTGGCCAGCTGTAATGAGTAGTTTCCTACTACAACTGAATCTCCTAAATTCAGACGTAGGAATTGTATATATATACGTTGTATCTTGCATAATGGAACACACAGAATTTTCCACAAATTTGCTGACCCAGACCCAATATTCAATCAAAATTGGATGCTCCCAAAAATATTATACGACATGTTATTACTTGAAAATCAACTTCCATTCTTTATCCTCATCTTATTATTTGAAAACACCACCATTACTGACATTAAACCAATCTCACTCGGGAGACTTGTCAATGAGTTCTTTCAGAACATAATTCCGATCCAAGATATTGATAACGTCCAAGGCAGCAAGCATATACTTCATCTACTCCGCCAATTTATGTGTCGTTTATCAAATTTGGAAAACGTAGCAACGAACATTCGAGACCCCAAGTCTGTGACAGAACTCCGAGAAGCTGGAGTCAAGTTCAAGAAGAAGGAGAACACTGATGGCTTCTTAAATATAAGCTTCACAGATGGTGTACTAGAAATCCAGAATTTACATGTTCAGAGCTACACCGAATGCCTATTTCGAAACTTGATAGCATTTGAGCAGTGCTACCATTTTTGTACTGGTCGGATGTCTTATGCTTTCCTTATGGATAACCTCATCAACACTCTAGAGGATGTCCAGTATCTCAACAAGAAAGGAATAGTTACGCATGTGATGGACAGACATGAAGAGGTAACAGTTCTGTTCAACAATCTTAGCAAAGGAGCTTTCCTTCCTCACTTTTACTACGCTGACTTCTACAGACAGGTTAATGAGCATTTCGAGAATCGTTGGAATGTCTGTAGAGCAATTCTCCAACGAAAACATTTTAAGAATCCGTTCACGGTGGTTTCACTCATTGCTGCAGCTCTACTTTTTCTCACTTTAGTTGAATAGCTCTATCTGGGTGCGTGTGTATCCATGCATAATTACAAGTCAATGATCTACCTTCAGGTTCTCCTTATTTCAATTTGATTCTGTTTGTCACCTATGTGTGATTAGGCCCATTAGGGCGCAATTCGGGCATGGTTGGGTATGACAGTCTGGGTTGAGGTCAACCCAAGCCCAACTTCAGACAAGGGAACCTCAACCGAGTACTCAACCTGATGAGTACAAATAACCTATGCCCATTGTTTTCAAAACCGACTCAGTTTTCCCAACGGGTCACGGGTCATGGGTCACCTGTTCGATCGGGTGGCCGAATTGATGTCATCATTAAAATAGCAAAAAGTTATATATATATATACAAATATCTAGAAAATGATAAAATTATAAATAGTTAAATAAATGTCTGAAATATCTTAAAACTTATAAAAATGCCTAATATTTATGAAAACATATATATCCGAAAATGCAAACAAAATATGAGAAAAACTGAAAAAAATGTAAAAAGAGAAGGGGGGCTCGAGTTGGGACTTTTGGGGAATTTTTCAAAATTTTAAACCTAAAAATTGGACTAACAAGTATAGGTCGACAGTTTAACTTGTCATTGACCCACTTACTGGGTCGCCGGTTTGACGGTTCAACCATCCGGGTTGTTCAACGGTTCAAGTCAATGGTTTTTTAACAAAGCCTAAGTTTTATGAGAACTGAACCCAGAAATTTAATCAGATGACGGTTTGAACGGTTCAACTGCCTGGGTCAATGACAAGTTAAAAACCATGCCTGTACCCAACCCTTTTCCACATAGCCAATCTTAGATAATCAACATAAGCAATTACTAGCTAGATTGTTTCAGCAACTAATAAAATCCATTTCAATAGGTGCAACTTGGGCGGGTCCAACCTGAGCCCAAACTGACCCAACCTGCTGCAATTTTATACAGTTTGGGTTTGGATTTTCGGTCCTTAGGACGAATCTGGGCCTACGAGTTAAATTTTTTATTTTTCAAAAGCAGCATTTGGGCCTTAAGTTTAAGTTTTAGGGTCAGGCCTAGGTTGAGTTTTAAATCCAACCCAGCCTGCATGCCTTACACCCAAATAGGCCATGATGTCATAGTTTATTAATAAAACTTAAAAAAATAGAAGTGAATAAAAAAAAATAGAAAATTGTAAAAAGTTGGACATGCCTCTAATATTTTGTCTTAATCATATTAAAGAAAAATAAATGAGACAATTGTTTTTATTGAAAATGGAATGAAATACAAAATTTAAAATCAACTAAAAAATGGAATTGTTTTTCCTATTTTGAGGTGGGTCAACAATTCAACTTCTGGGTCAAATGTGTCAACATTTGATGCCATTATTAAATAATAAAAATTAAAAAAAGATTAAAACACAAAAAATGAAAAGATACGTAAATTTTTCAAAAAAAAAAACATTTGGGCACATATCTAATACTGTAAATTCATCATATTAAACAAAAATAAGTGTAATAAACATGAATTATTTTTGTGCACAGAAACATAAAAAGTTGTGGGAAAAATTGAACATTATTATTGTTATCTATACTACTTAAAAAAGCACGAATATCCTCTGAATATTTCTGGAATTTTTAGAGGAAAAATTTTCCCCGTGCATATATGCATTTATTGATATATGATTGAGGGCAAAAAAGTAAATTGTGAAAACACCGAGTATTTAAGTTACAATCAATCTGTTTTTTTTTCAGAGGGCAAATTTTACCCCTGCATGTATGCATTTATTGGTATATGATTGAGGGCAAAAAAGTAAATTGTGAAAACACTACGTATTAAAACTAATATGAAAACACTGAGTACTTAAGTTACAGTCGATTGAAAATACTGGGTAATTAACTTTTCGTTTAGCACCGAGTATTTAAGTTACAATCGATTGAAAACATGGGTAATTAACTTTCCGTTTAGATTGTTTTTATTGCATAAAGTTTAGATTGTTTTTAATGCATATTGTAAGTGGAGATGATTTGCAGGCCTGCAACACTCATTCCAGTTGAATGAAGGCATTAAAGTATTCATTCGAGCTCAATCAAACCAAGATCGTGTTTTTTGCAACTGCAATTCAGCAATTTATTATGGGTCGAAGCAAGCAATCTTGCATTTATTATTGGAAAATTATTGGTCGATTAGTTAATTAATAACCAGCAATTTATTATTGGTCGATTAATTAATTAATAACCAGGTCGATTGGTCGATCTGGTGTGTTTTGTCTGTTTGTGTTCGTAATCCAACGACGATGGTCATCTTCATATTCATAACCGAACCATTGCTCATACATCTCTTAGAACGGTAGAACGGACTAATAAACATCTACAATTAAAAGGTTCACAGATGAACTCTATAAATACAGATTATTGGAAAGTGATTCTGATAGAACATAAAAAGCACTGAAGGAAGAAGAGGTGAGATTCTTTGATGTTTCTGAACTTTCTCAATTTTAATTTTCAATCTTCGATTCCACTATAGTGTATATAGTGTGATGAAATTAGGAATTCCTTAGTTTTTTCATTGTAGGCTTGGACATTGTTTCTTTTGTCAAAGCTCATTTTATTGGTTGGTTCTGTCAAATTGTTTATGGATTTATCGGTTAAATCCTTCGTATATCTGCCTAATCCATTGAAGGTTGGACTTTTTTTTTCCTTAAAGGATGGGTGTTTAATCCTTGTGTCTCTTTTCCTATTCCATCTGATATCTGTGGCTGATCCATGCATTGTAATGGACAAAAACCTCTGAATTGTGGTCCTACCTTGGAATCAACAGATAGTGATGGCCAGAAATGGATTGGCAATGTTGGTCCAAGTTCGCATGTTAGATGACCAACACATTAACCTCTAGTGCTGCCACTTAAGGCCTTTCACAGTAAGGATATTCTGCTGAGAATTACTTACACTTCCCCTGTTCCATCCATCCCCGAATTATTTTATTTTATTTTTTTCCAATTTCATGTAACGTTGCGTACTGCATATTTTTTCCTTATTACATCTAAAATAACAAAATTTACTTAAAAGTTATATGTATGAGTCAGTTTCAGTGTATGCATGGTTTTTTTGGTTTGATTTAATTTGATTGCAGAAATAATGGTTGCATCATACGAAGGCCTTTTGCGGAAGTGCTTCCTTAAGTTGTTCACCTTGGTCTTTTGTATAATCTCCCCATAAAGTCAACATCACAAGAGTTGAACTGTAAAAAATGTTTAAAGAATATTAATTAATGATTTATTTTTTTAAATGATAATATAATTTAAAATTTATTTGAATAATACGAAGCACTGGCTATAGTGATTTCTCGCTTCACAGAAAAGCCATCTTTATATCTGAATTGATGTATATTTCCAACTTCAATGACTATGGCAATAACATCTACAAAACAACAAAATGTGAGGTTAATAAGAATGTATATTTTTATTTAGTTTCTATGATAACATTATGATGAAATTGACATTGACTTACCAATTAATTCCTTTGTACTAATGTACTTATTTATGTCCTTAAGCTCATTGAATTTATAATTTATCCTGGATATACTCACTTCAACTTCTGCTTCTGTAATTGTTGTTGTCTCGTTGATGCAAAGCTTATAACTTTTATGTACATTTTTGTACAATGGGTTGATGATTTTCAATTGACCATTTCTAATGAAATATGTCCTTTGAGGGGGTAGCTTGTCTATAAACTTATCTACCACTGAGTTGAATAATACTCATTGAATTTGTGTTTCCTACAATATAAGATAATAATTATTTGTTGAATATAAGTTATACTCAAGATAAGTAAGGAGAAATGATTTTTTTCATACCTCATCATCAACTAGTATAACGTCTTTTTCCACTTCCCCGTTGATTATTATAAGTTTCAATATTCGCTCGATGTATTAATAATACTTTTATGGTTCATTCAATTTCTTCTGTGCTTAAGGAATTGATGTACATGAACTTTTGGTGAAATGGTAAGATCTTGGATTGACCAGCATAAAGACATGGGGTCAAATGACTCAAATCTCATCTTGTATAAAATATGTCAATATGTTTTTATAATGACCTTATAAGGTTCCCTTTAAGGTTAAGTAGGGAGCTTCCCTATATAACCTACCCTATTTTTTAGTAACATGGAGTAATTTTTGGACAATCCAGACTGTACATCAGATAGGAAACCCTTTGGATTGATCATGTGTTATACTGTTGCCTACGTCACTCCTATTCCCATTTTAGATTAGAATTTTCTTAATAGCTTGCTATAGAATGCAACAATGTTTTTTAAAGCCGAACCCTTTAGATCTCCAAACTACATAATAGTAAAGTATTTCCATTCTTGCCACATCATTCCTATTCAAAAGAGTTCAATTGAACTTAAATGGAACTAATTATGCCAGAAAGAAAGCACCTTTACCTATTTTGATTGGATGAAACAAGATGCTCAAATTAAAACTTGGTTGTGGAACTCTGTGCAACTGAAGACTAATTACATTGTGTACTCAGTAACAAAAATACTCATAAAATCAAAGTAAGGGCCAAATCACTGCTCATGTCATTGATCACATATTTATAGAACAAGAAGAAGTAGAAAAAGAGAGAGAACAAAAATTGCAAATCCTTCCTATTGAATGTATTTATTCTTCTTGGTCTTCAGACAGAAAATCTAATTTTCTCCAACGGAGCAGTTTTCTTCTTCGGGGTCTTCATCTTCATCGGTGACATTTGTTGGAACAACCTTATTCAGCTTCTTCACTAGTTTAGAAATTTCATTCTGCAAAATTTGACTTTCAGTTTCAAGGCTTTTACACTTCCAACGTAAATATTCCAAGTCCTCAAAGTTGACATCCTTTATTGTTATACTGAATTGATCTGTAATTTTTTTAATTGCTTTATAGGAGGCATCTTGTTCGGTCTCTTTCTTTGAACTTGCTAATTTTCCAAAAAACTTCCAACTCTCTCCACCAATATTAAGAGTAATTACGGCTCTAAATTTCCGCTCTACAAACTCAA